ATTGTTGCTACGACTGATGGCCTATCATTTTTGCGTACTTAATCAAACTGTTCACGACGTCTGTCCTGCCCGTCGCTTTGGAAAATTTTACGCACAAAAAGATTATCCTCTAACACCGATCATTGCAACATTTACGAGGCTGACAGTGGTGAGTGCTCTGTTGGCCGGGAATGTCTGTGATGTTATTCTGGTGCCACATACAGCGGTACGTGTGCTGTCACTACACCACACATGAACAAATTGAAAACCAGAATCAAAAACTTGTCTATACTTCTCGCACTCGAGACTCACGATTTCTCGCTTGCCGACACAACAAAAAGACCCCTCGAGTAACTCTACTGCAGTGCCGAGCGGACGTGACGCAATGATATCTATGATGGGGTCAAGGAGTGCTCAGATTTTTTGTTGAGTGCAGTTGCGTGCATTCGTTACACCCGCGTTGCACCGCGATGAACACGCTTTTATAAACTGCCGACTGACTACCAGTATCTAGTTTATATCATTTTGAAACGTGTATTACAATTAAATCACGGTCAAATATGTTCATCTTGTTGTAGTTGTAGCCCCCTTGACAGCGATTCTCTCTCTAGTTTAGACTGCGGTCAAGCCAGCCAGCCTCACGTGATATTGCGGTGCGCGAATATCCTATGCATTACGGTGGAGTAAAAAAAAAATCCTCCCTCTGTGTTTAGATGAGAATAAAACAAAAACTGTCCAGTATCAAAGACTCATTTCACTTCAGGGTGATAGCAGGACATCCCATCTAGTCACTCAGAAAAAATCAGGACATTCTGATGTAGAGTTTCAAAATAAAAGACCTTTGAAGTCTCATATATGAGCTATCATCCCCAAAGGTCTTTTATTTTGAAACTCTACATCAGAATGTCCTGATTTTTTCTGAGTGACTACATGGGGTGTCCTGCTATCACCCTGGAGTGAGATGGATCTATGATACTGGACAGTTTTTGTTTTATTCTCATCTAAAAACAGGGATGATAGCTCATACAATAGAGATTTCAAAGGTATTTTATTTTGAAACTCTACATCAGAATGTCCTGATTTTTTCTGAGTGACGACATGGGGTGTCCTGCTATCACCCTGGAGTGAAATGGATCTATGATACAGGACAGTCTTTGTTTTATTCTCATCCAAAAACAGGGATGATAGCTCATATATGAGACTTCAAAGGTCTTTTATTTTGAAACTCTACATCAGAATGTCCTGATTTTTTCTGAGTGACGACATGGGGTGTCCTGCTATCACCCTGGAGTGAGATGGATCTATGATACAGGACAGTCTTTGTTTTATTCTCATCCAAAAACAGGGATGATAGCTCATATATGAGACTTCAAAGGTCTTTTATTTTGAAACTCTACATCAGAATGTCCTGATTTTTTCTGAGTGACTACATGGGGTGTCCTGCTATCACCCTGGAGTGAGATGGATCTATGATACTGGACAGTTTTTGTTTTATTCTCATCTAAAAACAGGGATGATAGCTCATACAATAGAGATTTCAAAGGTCTTTTATTTTGAAACCCTATATCAGAATGTCCTGATTTTTTCTTCGTGACTAGATGGGATGTCCTGCTATCACCCTGAAGTGAAATGAGTCTTTGATACTGGACAGTCTTTGTTTTATTCTCATCTAAAGACAGAGGGATGATTTTTGTTGACTCTACCGTAATGCATCGGATATTCGCGCACCGCAATATCACGTGAGGGCTGGCTTGACTAGGTTTTCCCGAGTGGAGGCTGGCTTGACCGCAGTTAGTTGTTTAGCATACTCAGCCCGACTCAGCCTGGTTGTTCCTGGCCCTAGAACCACGATTTTATGGGGCCATTACATCACCAGAAGTCCCAATTTAAGGGGTCATTTCTCCCAAAAAAAATGTTTTTTTTACTCACTATATCAACAGCCCCACCAAAAATATTTTCCACCAGCCGCCACTGCATGCATCACTGTGTTAATAACATCCTGTGGTAGCTTAAATAGTCCAGTGATTCAGTCCATTGTACAGTGTTGCTTAACTCTATGCCCAGCTTTTAAAAAAATTGTATTTCACTTCCCTATCTAAATTACTCCCGAGAGTTCATTATCACTTCCACAGTTTAAATATAAGAACAGTTTCTTTGTTGAGCATGATTAACATACACTTAGTGAACTACTGTAAAACGTCCTCTCGACAGCGTCCACAGGATGTTCTGCTCTGTGTGGTTGTCATCACGTAACCTGAAACCTTTGTTGACACTGAATTTCAAGATAAAAGCAGACATTTCCTCTGCGGTTTGTAAAACCAGCATGAGAAATTAGCTGCATTGTTCAGCACATTGCTGTCCCTTCTTCTCTGTTATGTGTATTTGATGATGTGTGGCTGGTGTAATTAAGCCAATAGGTTTACAGCATAGAGACTGCATTCAACACTAAACAAGTCATAACTGCGAGTAATGAAGGGAGACTGCATTCAACCTGTGGTTAAAAAGAAAATTCAAACATTTTATTTATTTTATGCAAGAAACATTATCAGTTTCACTGCGCTGGTCATCGCTCAAAGTTAAGTAGCACTGGGAACTATAGTCAAATGATTCTGTCTTCATTTCTGTACAGTAGCATGGAGCTGCCTGCCCTCATCTGACTCAAGGACACACAACCTGCTCAGCTGATCATATAGAAATGTATAACATCAAGACAATAAAAGCCCCTTGGTTGCTAAAAAGAAAAAGATATTCAGATAAGTTACCTTAGTTGCAATGAAATACCACCCTTAGACATCCCCAACTCCACCACTGACTCAAATACGCCACAAAGGCACTTTTTAAACAATTATTGGATCTATGCAAACAATGCAATGAAAATCCTAGACTAAGAGGCATCAAGACCAACAGGGAACATATAAGTAACTTTACAAATTAAAAGTTTTGCATTCAAAGCTTTGCAGTCACGATGTACTTAAAGTATTTAGTCATTTAAATTGCTCCTGTGGGTGTTATAATTTTATATTGTTGTACTTTATTATCACTGTTTGAAGTTAAAGCCTATACTTAACATTGTTAATACCTGAAGCTAAATATAGGGCCTACAACAAAGTAAATATATTGCTGTTAAATTAAAGTAGAGACATAAAAGCTGCAATAATTGCCTCTGAAATACAGTGACGTATACTTTTAGAATATAGTAACACAAAATGCTGTTTCTAACACACACGGTGGAGAGATGAACATAAGTGACCACATTGTGTCGTGTTTAAGGTAATGTCTTTCTGTTGTTTCTAAATGTATGTGGATATTTGATACATGTGCAACAATGGCAAGTCATTGCGCCAGTAAATTGAAAGGAAGATTAAAACATTGCAACATTAACCACATTCAAACATACATGAGGAAGTGCTGCCTCTCACGAACAGTGTACTCGTTGTGGGGAAGTGAAAGCGGTCTTAAGTCAAAGAGAAATAACTTCTCTAGGTCATTATAGCCACAGCTCCAGCTCCACGCTCTGTTTCTGTCCCAGAGCAAACACAGAGCTGTTGTAGGACAGACTGGCAGACACTCGGCAGGGAGGAGAGTTTAAACATCCAGAGATGGGCTTTGGGGAGGATCTGCGCTGCCCCCAGGCACATGCAGCTGTCATGCGGCTGCTGGACTCAGAGCTTCACCTGATGGAGGTCATGAAGAAGTGGATGGGTCAGCGGGCCAAGAGTGAGCGGGAGTTTTCAGTGCAGCTGCACCACATGGCCGCCATGGGAGAGAAACTGGAGAGGCCTCAGCCCGGAGCGGGACAGGACTACATCAGCCAGCTCAACAAGGTGAGGGATCCCTCTGTGGCCTTTCATTCATGCAAAAACAATTATAATACACAAGGTGTGTGACTCAGTTACTTCATTTAATATACAAAATTAAGGTCAGGTTAAAAATCCTCACACCAATAAAAACCATTTATTTTGGAAGGCCATTGAAAAAAGGTTTTTTCTCCAATCTTAAAAATATATGTTATTATATTCAATTATTTGTGCAACAAAAAGTGATGATGGACTGAAACATCTGACTCATATGATGAACTCATATGAGTCAGTCCATCATCAACTTTTGGAAAATCACAATCAGAATTTGTTTGCTTTCAACACAAATGTCTGGATGGACAGGGATGTCTGTTAAAAACAGTAACGTTGGTCTTGTTGCTGTAGTTAGAGCTGTAGGTGAAATACTAAAGTTTTTGTTCTTGCTGAATTTTTGGAGATTTTTCGACACACTTGACCGACACCTGAATTGTTGCGAAGTATGTCAAATAGATCATGCCTACAATTGAAACCATGCACAGGAAGTATTATGCCATGAAGGAAACCAAAAGAAAACATGTTTTTTAAGAACCCACAATATCCACCGAAGATTACAGAAATTGGAAGAAATAGTTAGAGGAATGGTAAAAAATATATATTTTAAGAACATAATTATCTGAATGGAGCAGAATGAGCATGCAATATATTGTTGGATCAACAAAATAAAAATAAAAGATTATATTTCTGCAGTTCGAAAAACATATTGGTGAAAAACATATTAAACATTTGGTGGCTCGATGCATGACAAGAACCAACCATTTGTTTCATCTCATTTTATTTAAAGGTCCCATGTCATGGCCATTTCTACTGATCATAAATCCATTGTTGAAGTATACTAAAATAGATTTATATTGTGCAATTTTCCAAAATCACATTGTTTTCTCATACAGCATCTCTGTATAGTATGTGTATTCACTCTCTGTCCTAAACGGCTCCTGCCCCCCCCATCCCTATGAGCCCAGTGGCCGTCTGCGAGACAGCGAGACACAGCGAAACCCAGCCCGAAACCAGCCCGAGCACACACACCTGCAGCCTGGCTGGGAGTTTGTGTGCTCACACACCGACTCACAGCCTCGCCGCGCCCCACCGTCTCAGGGAGGAGAAATCGTTAGGAGATGCAGCTGAGAAAATATTGAGTGTGTGTGTGAGGAAGTCCGCGGATTGGTCCATTTGGACCAATCAACGGACTTAACCTAACGGCTCCGCGGACGTAACGTAACGGCTCCACGGATTGGTCCATTTGGGTATGGGCACATCACTGTAACCAGGAAGAAAAAGAGAAATCTCCAACGAGGCGTTCTGGGGCAGCATAGACAGGTCTTTTCTGTGTTAGAGTTTTACTGGCTACAGGGTGTACTTTGAGGGTTTGTGACTTTGCAGACCGTTTACATGCATAGAAACCTTCATAACACACAAGGGGATGGGTAATAACCGGAAAAGCATGACATTGGCCCTTTAAATGTAATGAGTATTTTTAGATGTATTACTCACTAGGAAAAAAATCCAAACAGAGGTTAAAGCATGTTCTTTTGTCCTCCTGTTTGAATTACCTGTTTTTCTCCCTGACCTTTGCCCCTGCCCCTCAGTCGTGGGGGGTGCTGGTGTCTCAGACGGACGTCCTCAGTCAGGTGATGAAGAAGCGCTCTGAGGATCTGCTCGACGGTCCCATCAGTAAACTCACGCTGGTCATCAGAGACAAACAGCAGCTCCGCAAAACCTACGCAGAGCAGTGGAACCTCCTGAGGCAGGAGCTTGGCAAGGTGTGTGACACACACACACTCAAATACACCTACAGCTAGTTTTAATGACTTTGTATACTGCAGGGTAGCTTGTGATTTGCTCCAGGTGTAACCAAAGTCTTATTTAACTGTTGATTATATTTCACATTATCGATCAAAATCTGTAAAGTAACTAAAGGTATTAAATAAATGTAGAGGAGTAAAAGTAAACGATTGAACTCTAAATTGTAGTGGAGTAGAAGTACAAAGTAGCATGAAATGGAAATACTTAAGTGGTGTACAAATATCTAAAAAGTGTACAGTACTTGAGTAAATGGACTCAGTTACTTTACACCACTGCTATTTCAATGTGGTCCATGAACTGATACTACTTAAAGTTATATCTAAACAAAAATGACATTTACTTTGCATTTTAAGTGATATTATATTTAAAATTAACCATTCATTGCTGTTGAGCAGAAGAGCTTGAGTTTAGGGATTAGCCAACTTCATCATTCTCACTACCGTGTTCTCCTTCTGGGTGCTCTGGTATTTTTGTTTAAAACGAAGTCATACTAAATGAGTGTGCAACAGTTAGTGGCAAAGTGTTTTTTGTATGTGGCATGATTCTCATCAGAGAGAAAGCAGAAGTTGTTGCTTTAAAATCTAGTTGTTGATTCTCCTCCAGTAAATAATCTTGACTTGCAGATGGCCATTGCGGCAGCAGCATTATAAATAGACAGCAGTCAAATGAACTGAGGTACAATAGACTGGAAACAGTTTGTGCATATGCAGTTTGGTGCAATCTCAAACTGGTGGCTGCTTCACAATTTTATTACCCAATTACATCAGGGAAATTATGTGTTCATGTTCAGTGATCTGTACTGGTGGTTCGGCCGTCTTGCAGGCAGTTTGTTCATTTTAATTTTCTTACTTTATTGTTCAGTCTTTGATTATTATTGGAACTTGGATTCATGTGATTCACTGTGTGGTACAATAGTGAACAACAATGTCACAGATGCTATCAGGTGGAGTTGAAGTATTGGCACAATAAATTCCAGATCACTTCCTCTTGTCTTTTCTCATGTTTGTGCTCCTCTGCAGTGAAACAACAGGGCCACTGATCACTTCCTGTGTCAGGCAGAGCTTACACCTAGAGAGGCAGCTCTTAACCACACATAGCTCCTCTCAGGGCCGGTTTTTGGCATAGGCGGTTGCCTATAGGGCGCCAGATCTGGGGGGCGAGAGTCCGAGCCAGGGAGAGAGAGAGAGCCCGCACCACACCGGTGATTGTTATGAACTTATTGTTAGCATCTGGTGCTAGCTGCGCGAAAATATTTCTACAACAAAGGTGGAGGGAGAGTCCTCTCCTGTCAGACTAGGAGTCTCTGTGAGGTAAAGGACTCTGAGTGTTTAGATAGTTAACTTTAGTCTATGTTATCTCAGTGGCTCTCAAACGTTTTGATCACACTTAATGTAAACACATATTTCCAAGGCACTCCTTTATAATTATTAGGATAAATAAAAACAGGTTTGAAATCATTCCAATGTATACTATAGGACAGTAAACCAAAAATATTGTTTAAAACTGGAGGGATTTAAACAAAATGCATACATAAATGTTAAGGTCAAATAAGATATAAATGAACAACAAAAATAAAATACGTTAGGCCTACATTTATTTGTTATTGGCTATGGGTTATTGGTTATGTTCACATACTTATTTGATTATTAAAATGTAAACCGATCTTTTTCATATGGGTGTTTAAAGTTGTACCATCTAGTCTCTAGTAATTCTGCTTAAAGTGCACCAGATTGAAGCATTTTACTTTAACATTTAAAAATAAAAATCTTCCGGGGGGGCATACCCCTGTCCCTCCTAGAGGATGTGATGTCCACCCTCCAATTAAAACATGTTCATACAATACTAAATAGATTTGAAGCCTTTTTGATGTATATTACCTATGTCAATAAGTTTCTGTTTTTGTAGTGTATTGGTGTTTTGTAGAGATTTTTCATTTATTCTTAATATATTCTATTGGATATCTATTGATCTTTATCTTTTCTACTGTACAATTTTCAGGCTGGGGAGGTGGGGGGCGCCAGTTAAAATCTTGCATAGGGCAGCACATTGGCTAGAACCGGCCCTGGCTCCTCTGAATAACGCCTTACCTTCCACCGAGTGATTTTCTGTGTGTTTTTCTGTGTGCTGCTTCAGGTGACCCATACAGAGCTGGAGAGGCTGAAGAGCAGCTACAGGCAGGCGGTGAAAGATGCAGCTCAGGCTAAGAGGAAGTACCAGGAGGCCAGTAAAGGTGGGAAATCCTGACATACAGTAACTTAGTTATTTCAACAGAATCGGTTTCACACTGATGGCCATGTGTTATTTTAATATATCGTGTATTCCCATTTCCAAACATGACATACATAATGTCTTCTCCCCGTGCAGATAAAGAGCGAGACAAGGCTAAAGAGCGTTACGTCAAGGCTTCTGTGAAACTCCACGAGCTGCACAATGACTATGTGCTGTCTGTGCGAGCTGCTCAGGTTTACCATCAGCACCACTACAGTCAGATCCAGCCGGCCCTGCTCGCTGCGCTGCAGAGTCTGCAGCAGGAAATGGTGCTCATACTGTAAGATCACACAAACCACCGAGTGACCACGTGTGAATGATATTAGTGGCAATAAGTTGGCTTATTTCCATCCACAAACACACACATGTCAAACACTTTTATCCAAAGCGACTTACATACTCAATACTGTGGGCAATCCCCACAGGAGCAATTTGGGGTGAAGTGTCTCAGGGACACAACGACTGCAGTGGGGTTTGAACCTGTGACCCCCTGAACCGAACACCAACGCACAACCCACTGCACCACACGCCTCCCACACATAAAAGCGAAAGGAATGCTGACTTCAAAAGCACCTTTTTAATTAACTACAGTACATGCACATGTTTTCCCATATTAAATGAACAGTTGTATTTCCTCCCCTAGCATTATGTTAATGTTGTTTAGTGATGCATTTGAGACGGTTTTGACAGATTTTCCTTGTTTGTTCATTCAGAAACCCTGTATATAAATAGAACATCTCAAATCGTTAAAACACTACTTTTATATGAAAATAAAAATGGAAATCTGAGTTTTTATTCATGCATTAAATGTTTGACAGTCAGCTGTCAGACCGCAGATGTCTCCGCTTGTTTGATCACAGAGTCTGCAAAACAGACACCGCTTAAAAGGACTCAAATATGACAAGTATTCAAACATCTAAATACTTACTGTGATGGACTGCCTATCTCAGACAAGTCTCAGAAAGCAGATTATCTTGGCACTGATGTGAATCAGCCTGCAAATAAACCACCTGGAAAAGTTTGATATTGTACATCTGTGCAATGCAGAAATGTAATGTAGTGTTTCAATCAATTTGTCTAAAACCTGTCCTCAAAACCACTGAATTTGAAGGATTCTGTTTTCATGTGGCCTCCCTGACCCCTGAACCAGAAAGGAGATCCTGCAGGAATATTTCGACATCTCCTCTCTCCTCCATCATGAAGTGGTGCAGATCCACCAGGAGATGTCTTCTGCTCTTACAGCCATCGATCCTCACAGAGAATACGAGAGCTTCATCCAACAGAACAGGTAGACTGAGGCCAAATTTCCTCTCAGATGGCAACACTGCGGCCGTGAAAGCCAGCCATGCAGAGTGATGATTATGTGTGTTTGTGTTTGTATAGATCTGTAGGGGAGACTCCTGCATGTGCAGAGTTTGACTGTAGTCTCCTGGAGGACACTGAGGAGCTACAATCCAGAGAGATTGAACTAAACGACCTCACGCTTGAGACAGTTCAGCACAAGTGAGAACAAACGACGCAATTCCATCCAGATGACTGAACTCTAATTTCCTTTTTAAGTGTCTCAACCACTTCCTCCTCCTCCCCCTTCATGTTCATTTTTACCTCCAATTTCCTCTTACGGTTTTGCATTAATTTCTTCCTCCCTTCACAATTTATTCTCCATCTCGTAGACTGACTGCGGTAGAAGAGGAGCTGCTGAACTTGGCTCGGACTCTGGGCTCGCAGCAGACCTCGGGGGATCAGCTAGAGCTGGAGCTGGATGCAGAGCGGGAAGGTGTGAAAAAGGGCCAGAGGTGAGCGGACCACAGACCCAAGCATAACCACAAGTATGCCCGAATGTTGCTATGATTTTGTAATCAGAGGTCACAGAGGAGGTTTCAGACTATAAACACAAAACTGTTGTTATAACCGTGAAGATAAATAACTGAGGTTTGCCTCTCTGCGGGCAACCCCCCCCCATGGAGAGAGTTCAGAGCTAATAACCAGTGTGGTCTCAGGTGGCTGAAAGTGCCTTATGAATTATTATACAGTGATATGGTCGGAGTTATGGAGCTCAATTTGTCTTGATTGATGAAGCTGTCTGGAGGTGTTGGAGGTTTACAGTCCTGTGGGAGTGATGGAGTCATTACCAAGCTCCTGGAGGTCGGCTGGATACAATGTGTTTGTTTGCAAAAACTCGAGAAAAGCTGGGAGCACATATGGTGGTGGTGTTAGTGAGGGAGGTGAAGGTTATGCTGGTCTTTGATTTGTATTTTGAAAAAACATTTTGTAAATGTACAGAGAGATGCTATATGATGCTAACGAGGGACTTCTTGTAGCTGAGAACCTGTGAACTTAGGGAAGGTCTACAGTCTGAAAAGTGAAGCAAAATAAAAAAAAGTGCCTTTTACGTGCATGTTCTTTAATCACCAGCAAGGGTTTACAAAAAAGTCTTACTTTATAGATGTCTATAAGGAAATTACCTTATTTCTCACCTCATCCTCCTGACAAGCTTGTCGTCTCAGTCACTATAGTTTGATGTCTTCTTTAAAGCAGCATATTGTCCATTTCCTAAATTATGGTCCCATTTAAAATAAAATAAAGAAGTGAAAGCATGGGAATGGCATAGTGTCACAATTTCATTACAGTTTTTCACATCCAGTCTAGTCTTGCAGAATACAAAAATAAGAATGTAATTAACATGTTTTGGTAAAAACTATTTAACAAGCTCAAATCTATAGCCAAACAACTGGGGTCGGAATAATTACTTACTCTGAGATCATATGTTAGACAAATATCAGAAAACAGTGAAAGCTTTATTAATAATTACTTTTAATGTGAGTTTAGTATAAATATAAAGAAAAAACATGAAATCTTCACATATAAAAACCTTTTGCAGTTGTGTATGAAAAAAGGCAACAATCCAAATAGTTGCAGATCATTTCCTGTCGATTAATAAACATCAATCAATCAATCAATCAATGTTTATTTATATAGCCCAATATCACAAATGTTACATTTGTCTCAGTGGACTTCACAGTTTGTACAGAATATCAGTCTGACAATACGACACCCTCTGTCCTTAGACCCTCACATCGTACAAGGAAAAACTTCCAGAGAAAACCCACAGTTTAAAGGGAAAAATGGGAGAAACCTCAGGGAGAGCAACAGAGGAGGGATCCCTCTCCCAGGACGGACAGACATGCAATAGATGCCGTGTGTAAATTGAAAAGATAATACATTTGCAACATAGGTAGTCCAAATGTTTGGAAATGCATGTGTGTATAATAGGAAGATGAATCCACGAGGATATCCATCCAGGACTTATGATCCAGGACCACAGCCACGACTCAAGATCCAGGACTCGCGATCCATGACACAGGACCGCAGGATCGTCCATGACTCCGGATCCCGGCGTATATAGACACCAAAAAGAAAGAAATTTGGGGAAGCTGGGTTAATCGGAACATGAGAGTACACAGGTATAGACAGAGAGAAGGAAGAAGTAAGATGTCCCCCGACAAACTAAGCCTATATCAGTAAAACTAGGGGCTGAATCTAATCAGCCNTCGGCCCTGCGGCTGCGGGTTTAAGATCTCGGGCACGGACTCACACCAGGTCTGCTCGTCCTGCCTTGGGCTGGAACACGCCCAGGAAGCTATCGAGGTATCGATAGCTTCCTGGGCGTGTTCCAGCCCAAGGCAGGACGAGCAGACCTGGTGTGAGTCCGTGCCCGAGATCTTAAACCCGCAGCCGCAGGGCCGAGCCTCCGACTCCTCTGGTGTGAGAGAGAGAAGGGTCCATCCTCGTTTGCCGGGGTGTCGGCGCGGAGGGACAAGCTAGTAACAGGTATGTTACCAAAAAAAATCCAACCTTATCGTTATTCCGAAAGGAAAAAACGACGGGGTAGATTTTTCTTTAAAAAATATTAACTGGTGTGTTAATATCTTTCTTATCTCCGTCTCCTCTGGTGTGAGGGAGAGAAGAGTCCTTCCTCGCTCGCCGTGGTGTCGGCGCGGAGGGATAAACTAGCAACAGGTATGTTACTGTTTGAAGAAAAAAATCAAACCTTACCGTTATTTCGAAAGAAAAAACGGCGTAGCGGATTACAATATTAACTGGTGTGTCAATATTTGTTCAATTCTTCTGCAAAGCAAAAAAGTAACCGGCAAGCGCCCGTCGACCGAATGTTAGCTTGGGTTCAGTCTGTGGACCGTTAAGCTAGCCCGGCTACTGATATTCGAGTTGTGCTCTGAAGCGAGAAGAGGTGTTTGAATGACGCTGCGACGTAGCGCAAGCTACTTAAAGGGTGGGTGGATTCCCTGACGTAGACGTCAAGATCACCAGCCAATCAGGATTGGCGTAATGAGATTGATGCTTCTGTTTGCATACGCGTTGAGGCGCATCCCATAGTGAGACATCGAACGGAGTGTTATGAATGAGAACACCCTCTCGCTAGGGACAGAGGTAGCAGATACAGCCAGGTAGCGCTTTGCTAACATGGCAACATAAGGATATTTGGCGTTTGTAATAGCTTTGGCTCGGTCTGAACTTTTTGCGAGTGGTGGAGGTCTAAATGCTAGTGGGAGTTGGGTTTGCACTTCAGTCTTTTTTCTTTTGGTACCGTGATATTCACGTTTGGGTTATGTCTTTTCAAATGAGTGTGCAAGTTTGATGTATTGCCAGCCGCGTAACCAATTTTAGTTGAACAATGCCGACAAACAGCTTTGGTTCGGTCCACCTGTCTTTGTCCGTCATCCTTGTAAGTAACTGCGAAACCAAAATGTTCCCAAACCGGAGACTTCAATGATGCTGGAGGATTTTCGAGCTCAACTTTATCTGCGTTCGCCATTTCGACAGTTCCTCAAATTACTGACTACATTTGAACGCATCGCTGTGACTAGCTCTCATAGTATGCCTCTCGTCCAATGAAATGACTTGCTCGCTCTATGACGCGTTACAGTATTTGTTCTGGTACTTGTTCTTAAAAAGGGGTCTCACTGGTTTTTACACACAGACCTAAATCAAGTCACATCTACTTGGAGAGCATTTAAGTTAATAAAAACACATTGAAATTTGCATAGATCTTTATTTTTTTTAGTAGAATCTATAATTGACATCAATTAAATAAAAAGAAGAAAAACAAGAGCGAAAAAATCTTTAAATTACAAGAAAATTACACTGCACCGTTCATATAGTACAAAAATAGGCCTTATTTTAGAGTTATGTCCCATGTAAGATAGTCATTCTTGTACATTATTCATAGGGCACATATCTGTAAGGTACTGTGTGCAGCCACAGGCCGGGATCCTCTGGAGAGGCGGGGGGTCAACAGCTCCTCCCCCATCACAAAGTGTTTCATTTAGACTTAATCAAGCATGTGTACACACAGACGTACGCAGATCTGATTGAGCCCTTAAGTTAATGGAGATGGGATACATTCTTCCTCCTTCCTCCACAGCTGCTGAACAGACAAAGTGTCACAACACATCTTCAGAAAATAAAAACAGAGGTGACAGATCAACAAAAACACTTTGAACATGGGTGAAGGGGCTCGATGGACTGTGACAACCTGAAAGCAACACGTCGTAACACTAAACAGACAGCATAAAAATGATTGTCTTTGGTAATGCCAAAGATATTGCTCCTATTAACTCCGTCAGACTTCATATTGATCACTTCAGACTACATCCTAAGGCAGGACTGAAGCAGCATCTGCTGAAAATAATGCAAAAAGAGAAGAAAAAAAAACATCTTCCTTTATAGCCAGAGGAGACAATTTGTGACGAGCAGATTTCTGTAACATTCCTGTTACTTTATACATCAAAAGGCTTCACACTGCCGGTGAAGTGGCAGCCTCTTAATGATGAGCTGCTTTCCGGCACAATTAGAAACCTTTTTCTTTTCTTAGTGTGCTGTTTCCATCTCGTTTTAGCAGTAAAAGTAGTGAGCTGGCTTCTAATGGTTTGCTTTGGAAGCACTAGCTACTTAATGCTGCCCGCATTCATGATTTCCCTCCAAGATGAACACTTGAATGCACAAGGCTTCGAGTTCATCAGTTTAAAGTTTTCAGAGTTTTCAAGCTGTAGTGGATACAACATCAAGAAAAGATGAATAAATCATTTTGTGTGTGCATTCGAGGGGACAAGAGAACTGCCTGAACACCCTCCCAAATGTTGCACTCTTGGAAACACGTTATTCTTCCTTGAAGCAATAGAAATAATTTGTATGGGGAGATGCATAACGTTGATAGCCTGAGCATCAATACTAATTGCATTGGTCAGAGTCCCACATTATACTCCTTCTAAAGGAGCGCCCTCTTAGCATCTACACTTTAAGACAAATATTTTATGGAAGCAATTTTGGTGCCAAATGAGCCAATTAACTGTTGTTTACAAACTTCACACCAAGCTGGGAAGTCAATAAGATTTTGTTGCAGGAGTCTGAGGCTGTATTTATTACATTTTTTAAATTAGCACCACCTTAAACTGGGGCTAATCGAATCCTAAATGGCAGTAGGCACTAATGTACATCCCAGAGCTATGCAGCATACACTCATTGTTCTGCAGCCACACCAGCTTTGTTCTTTTCAACGGCACTTTCTTTGAATCTACTTTCTCAGACGGGTTTCCAATCCTGTTTAGTGCTTCCTGGCTGAAACTGCAGCGTTAAGCAGTCCACCTGCACGGCTATCAGAGATGAATCAAGCTTCCTGGCTCAGCGCTGTGTTTGAGATACAAACCAATCCTTCTCCATTTTTTAAAAACAGGATGTGGGAAGGTGTTGGTTTATAACTCTTTATTCTCTAACGTTTTTCT